TAAAAGATTAGTTTCAAGGGCAAGAAAATGAATACTGCTATACAAGTTAGTTGGTTGCACAACATACCCGATCTTAGGTAAGTTGCATAACCATGCCGCATTCATAGTAGGCGGTCCACATCTCCGTTTGCGGCGCGGTTCAACGAAATATTTGAAATAACTTGAAAATGCGGGAAAAATGTGTATTTCGCATTGTATGTATTTCGTAGATTGGAACGTTGAATTTAAGGGTTATGGATGCAACAAATTTCTCGCAATTGTTTCACTGCAAATATCATTTTATCTATAACTTCACAACCACGCCGCAATTGAGATAGGCGGTCTTTTACGCCTTTGGCGGCGCCGTCAAGCAAAAAAAGAATGTGCAAAAACCCAAAAATGACGGGGAAAACATTCAATCCGCAACCCAATGTCGCTGTTTCAAAGTATAAACACGGCCTCTTGACCCGATAGGTCAAACCTCTAGCCGCTTCCAAATCTATCAACGAGTAAAAAAAAAAAACTCGTTGGCTTTCTACGTAATAGAAAAATCACTATTCTGCTCTTCTCACACCCACAACACAGATATACCACAGTAACCTTGACGTCATTTTACACGTGTTTGTTACGTGTTTAGTACAAGTACGCAATTACAGACAAATCAAGAATAAAAGCTAGAATTGTAAAGAAAAGGTTATGGTTATGAAAGGAATATACTGATACAATGTGAAAATTTCCAAAATGGGAAATTTAACGATTTTTAGGACCCGCATAACTGAGCTCAGATCATACACGAGGATTTGTTTGATAAAAAGAGCGTCACCAGCGTAAAGGGCTGTGCTGGACAGGTTTTACGGCTGGACGCTCGTTCAGTAGGCGTCATATCAGAAGACTTTGACGTCGTGACGCTTTCGTCGGTCGATGAAGATGATTGTGATCCTTGTAGGAGATTGTTTCACGATCAAGCACGACACCCTCAACATCCATCACTGATTCGTCGTCTTTCAGCGACATTACCTGAATAATCTACAATAAATTATTTACGTCGAGAAAATGGTAAGATAGGATTATTCCGAAATTTTACAATGAACTTACTGTTTAAATAATACATATATGATCTAAGCCAAGCCCTAAAGAATAAATAAAGGCAAAAGAGTATCTCTGAGGCTAAAATGATTTTCTACAATGAGGATCTCTATGGTTTATTTGCTCGTTGGTCTACATCATAAGCATTTAGTCTTACGTTCTTTTTTTTTTTTACAATGAAGGTTGCCAATGTTAAGTTCGGTCTTTCGAAATCTGCGAAAAAAACCCCAAAAAAAATTCGTAAGACTTTGGGACTACAAGTTTTGTAATTCTAAACTTTGATTCAAAAGTGTGCCTCTGCGACTTTAATATTTAAAATAGATATATTCACAGATAAGATCTTAGAACACCAACATATACCCGCTTACTTAAAACCGAAAAAACAGCTT